TCTACTGCAAGCCGCTTTCAGGTCTCTGTTTGTCATGTTGCTGGGGCTGCTATTCTCCCTTCAGATTATGCTAGTCGCCATGCTGCACAATGTGACAGTCCGGCATGTCAGGTGTGTAGCTTCGTCCGTGAATCCATGGTCTCCGTCGTGTGCGGTACTGATGTTGCTGACATCTTGCGGGGAGCTCAAAAGGTGCCCTTTGCCAGTAGGGCCACATGGGTGTCTATTCAGGCTGAGTGTCCAGACCTCCGCACGGTACGCGCACATCTTCGGCAGGGTACACGCCCTTCCAAGAGAGTTACCAATGTCAAAGATGTAAAACGGTATTTGAATACTGTTACCTTAGCAAGGGATGGGCTGTTAGTTGTGCGGCGTGACACACCACTGTCAAACACAACCAAATGCATCGTTGTTCCAAGGTCAGTACTGCATGGGTTGCTTATGTCATTGCACATTAGGTTAGACCACCCCTCGGCTCACCAGTTGAGACTTGTCGTTGGCCGGTACTTCTACGCGCTGGACTTGGATTCAGCCATCCAGCTTACCAGTAATGTATGTCACCAATGTGCTGCACTGGCTAAGTCCCCTGTGTTCGCAGTGGAGCAGTCCAGCTGTGATCCACCTGAGACGGTCGGGTCTACTTTTGCAGCTGACGTGCTTAAACGTGAGCGCCAGCTCATCTTAGTCGTTCGTGAGTGTGTGACAACCTTTACAGCTGCTTTGTTAATTGATGACGAGCGGAAGGAAACGTTGTGGGATGGTATTGTACACTTGTGTATTGGCCTTCGTCCGCTTGATGGCCCCTTTGCTATAGTTAGAACTGACCCAGCACCAGGTTTTTCAGCACTGGCCAAGGACACAGTGCTTGCTCAATACAGGCTGGCCATTGAAGTTGGCGATGCTAAAAATATCAACAAAAATCCGGTGGCCGAAAAGGCCATCCAGGAGCTACAGGGCGAGATTTTGCGACTAGAACCACACTGTGGGGTCGTCACCCCCTTACTATTGTCTGTAGCTGTTGCTCGGTTAAATAGCCGTATTCGGTCACGTGGCATGTCAGCCCGTGAGATGCTGCTGCAGCGTGATCAGTTCTCTCTCGAACAGTTACCGGTGCATGACCGGGAACTGATTGCGTTGCAGCATGCACAACGCCTGGCTAACCACCCCCACAGTGTTAAAGCTAAAGCTCCACTGAGTTGGGGTGCACCTAGCCTTGATATTTGCCCTGGTGACCTTGTGTATTTGTATAGGGTTCGCTTAACAGATTGTTATAAAGTTGGCTCTTTCCCAAGTGTCACAGGTCATTGTGGTGACGGTGCAGCATCTGAGAGCGAAGAGGAGTGCGACGTGCCACTTGTTGCACCTCCGAGCAACCCTGACATTCCCCTGGCGATAGCGACACCCGCTTCACCCCCTGGGTCTGATGACAGCGAATGTCCGGAGGGTAGGACCATGTCCCCATCATGTTCGGTGGAGGTCCCGTGCCACGAGTTAGCCTCCCTCTCAGCTGTTCCGGTGCAGGCTCCTTGGCGGTCAGGCCGTCTCCATCGACTTCCCGAGAAAGTTAAAGGATTATGAGCTGCACTAGATGGACTGCCTTCACCCGTATCCTTGCTTTGCTTTGAGAAAGCTTCATAAGGATCCAAGAAGCCTTGTTCTGCAAGGCTTCATAAGGATCCGCGGTGCTGTTCTCACTAGACAGATGGTTCCGTTGACTCATCTTTTGTTGTCACATGTCACTCTTTTGTTTTTCCCCTTTTTTTTGTTTTTGTTTCAAATGCCCAGTATGTGAAGTGTGTCGTGGATCGTGACGTGACTCCTGACGTTGTTCGTGGCCACGTTGGCCTGGGCGGAGCTCGCGCTTGGGGCTTCTTGTTATTGTTGTGTTGGCCGTCGCCATTAAAGGCTTGACTAAACTATTCTCTCGTGTCAGCGATTCAATGTACCTCACCTACACACTGGCGCTGTTTGTTTGTTTTCATACTGAAGTCCAGTCTGGTGGGTGTGCTGAGTGTCCACTGTGTGTTATCATATGTAAACAAAAGAGTCTTATTAAAAACAAATAAAAATTTTTTAAAAAACTTTACACGGGTTGCAACTCTAAATTTGATATCAAATGCATAGTTATTTAAAAAATCCAGATGCAAGAAGTTATTCTTATAGAAATATAAATATATAATTTTCTGTCTTAATTCAAAATTAAAACTCCAAAACCAATTAAAAGAGCATTACAGCTGCCCATAATGTCAAGCCAAGAGCTGCATGCCTTTGGCATAGCAGTCAAACAAAAATTAATCTGCCTTAATGTAAGTCTCTGTGATGTTTTGTATACTGAGAACGGAAGAGGGCCAGATACTGAACCCTGAGGTACCCCAGTGGTTATTTGATGTAATGCAGACTCCTTTCCAACATAACCTGAAGGACTTATATAAGAAATCGTATCTATCATTCTAAATGTCTTTACTGTCATAAATGTAATACATCCTAGCCGAGTAAAAGTCTTAATTTCTTTAAAAACAACGACAACAACATACTGACCCCACATTTCTTGAACAGTAGTGAGTACATTGGAATGCTGCTGAGCTGTTGTTTGCTTCAACATCAAAGTCCAGTCTTTACTTTACTTTGCACATTACTACAATTTTTGTACATTTCTGCTCAGCAGGTAGAGAAAAATGAGTAGAATATCAATAAACCACTGCAATTAGCTGTATGCTATTATTATAAAGTTTTCTTAATGCAATAGCAATGCAGTAAGGCAGGTGTTTGTGACCTTTTTTTAAATTTTATTCTGCAATTTAAAATATTGCAATAATCATTACCAAAGCACAAAATAAATCAGTACTTAATAATAATAATAATAATGTAGTCAGTGTTTCCAAAATCATTTGACAAATTAATCATTAACATACTGCTCCACCCTCCTCTGTTCACTTAAATACAAGCATTGTGATTTTGGTTTGATATAATCAAATCAAATCACTGTCGGCGTAAACATGGTAAGCTTCTCTTATAATACTGTATATGTTTAGTTTAATATGTAGATTTTAGGACTGTCGTTAGGTAATTTTCACAATTACAGAATTCATTAAATGTATGTGAATTTCATGTGATATTTTAGACTTGTTAAGCTTCAGTGATAATTAAATTTTACCATACAAACAATAAATTAATTAATAAACAACTCATTAATTGAGGCACTTTACTTAGCAAATGTGTAGATTTTTAACATCGGATCAATGTGTTTGTTGACTGTGAAGAGGTCGGTGGTTTTGGGTTTGTTTCTGTGCGCTGCCCTTTCTCTAGTCAATGCTGCATGCTTCGTTGAGGAATACAAAACATCAGGTATAAACTGTCCTTCGCTTTTATTGCATTACTAAAAAATGTGCTCTATTATAATTATCATTATTATTATTATTATTAAGTTTTTTTTTTCTTCCCCTGAATTCTTTCTCTGATCTTTTATAGTTACGTTTTGCCATGATGGGACAGATAAGACATGGCATCCTACTGGATCTGTTTGGAGAAACAGTAAATGTGTTGACTGTAATTGTTCTGCTGATTCCATGAGGTGCTGTGATGCGTAAGTACAGCATTTTTACTGTGTAGTGACATCACCATTGATTTCCTCAATCAATACAACACAAAGGAGTTACTTACAACGGAAGTAAATGGACATTTTTTTTGAGGATTTAAAAGAAATTGATATTAAAAATGATATTAAATTCAAAAATAAAAAATAAATAAGTTATAAAAAGCATTTAATTGAAAACGCTTCAAGACCAAAGGTTATCGAAAGAATAAGTTAACTCAGATATTTTAATTTAAATATCTTACTGATAAAACATAATAATTCCTTTCGTTGTGTTTCATTCCTGTAGAATGCAGAGGCCTGTTAATTATCCGGACAAGTGCCAAGTGGAGTACGATTACACTACATGCACATTTGAAATATTTGAGAAAGTTCCCTGTTCTGCTACCGGTGGTGTTATCGGGAAATGACGGCCATGAATTATGAAAAGGATGCCATCTTCATTGTATTATCTGCTGATTTAAACGACAGGAACTTGTGTTTAATTTGAAAAAAAAAAAACATTATACATGTGTTCATTTTCAATTTCAAGCATGTTTTAACATTAAACAGCATGACGTGACATTGATAAATTAAAGTAAATTGATTTTACTCATGTTTATATAATTAAAACAGAATCAATACAGTCTCTTTGATGTTTTTTTTTATCAGCACAGACCCTATCTTGACACTTCTTTAACTCTTGATGTCATGCCTGTTAACTCTCAAAGGCAGGTTTGATTTGGTTCAAAAACTTTTTTTGTTTCTCTCTTTACATCCCGATAGCAATCACTAAGTTCAGTGGTCTAAATGTATTTATATGTATTTATATCGTCTGTGGAAGGCGTAGGACCATCAAATGTTCGCCCAATCATATCTCTCGGTCCGAGGGCTACGATAGGCTGCTAAGATGAACATTTTAAGATGAATATTTCACTTACTGGATAGAAGCAACTTACTTATACATACATACAGGTAATCTGTAATAAATAATATCTTATTGATTACTTTACAGAATTTCATCGCACATTTCATCGCCAGCAACTGCACAAAATTGCATATTTTGCTCAGTTTGGGCCTCTGAATAAAACTGAATAAATCCTCCATACATGCACTATAAAAACCTATAGTCTCAAATATGACACTCAACAAAACACCGCATATGCAAACAAATGCATATTTATATTATATATATTTTGTCTAAATGTTCAATAAAGTAGTCCATTTACAAAAATTTGATTTTTTTTGAACTATTGCTTTTATATGTAAAGCTTTACAGGAAAAAAACAAAGGTTGGTATTTGTTCAAATGTGATGCTGTCAATAAACAAACATTTTCAGTAACATTTCTTACCACTAGATGGCAAAATAACAACCTTAATAACTTTTTGGGTTTCTTTATTGCTTTAAAAAAAAAAAGAGTATGGAAAGTTGTTTTGGAGTCAAGGGGCTGAGAGAGACAATGATTTTGCACTGTCTGGCAAAGACACACACACACACACACACACACACACACTCAAACATAAACACACACAACCACACTCCATCAATCTAGCAGCAACTGGGGCAGCGAGCAGAAGTGTGTCAGACTTTGGGGTGCATGTGCACATTTACATGTGTGCATTTGCCTTCTAGAAACTTCTTTCTAACCAAGAATCTTTCTTAGAGATATTTGCATTTTCTTTTTTCCATAAAACCTACACTCTGCTGCCACAGGACAGTAGAAGCAAAGACAAATCTAGTCTTTTGGAGAATGGTTTCTCCAAATTAACTGCACGGAACAGCTGCAAGGATTACGGATTGTCAAGGACCCTGTGGAACCTTACTTTTCTCTCATGGTCGCTTTTGTATCTTTCCTGTAGTCCTGATTTTGCTTGACTCAAACAGTGCTTTACAACATGTGCAGACTTTGGAGGATAGCAGTTTTGCTCTGTGTCAAATTGGTGGACACTGCGAATGGAAATACAGGACTCGTGCCGGAAAGAAGGACAGCAGCTTCCTCCTGCTATGGAGGTTTTGACCTCTACTTTGTACTAGACAAGTAAGTTATCCTGTGATTTACCACCTTTTCTTACCAATGCATGGTTATCACACTCTGTATATGCTGTGTTGGCATCTGTACACCATGTAAGACTCACTTTGTCTGAGGGCTTTAACCCATTGTCAAAGACTTTTGCTCATGCAGAATTAGGTTTACAATTTAAATGCAATTTTTTTCAGAGATATAAGGTCTATTATGTGGCAAAGTTTTAGGTTAAGTGATGCTTTCATGTACTGTATTAATGTTTTAACTTTTTTTTTTTTTTTGATAAAAATTGACCCAAAAGGTCACATTTTGATACTTTGAAGATCATTTGAACATTTAAAATGACTGAACTTCATTATGCAAAGTGGCACTTTTCCGAGCACTACAGTAACTACATTTTTCTTCATTCTGCTCAATGACTTTTAATCCAAGTTTTTTCCCCTTATATCTATTGTTTTGTACTTCGATTGTTTTACTTTTTGTGAAGTATATGTTGCTTGAAACGTGTGCATATGATATATTTCTTTGAAACAATTTCCATGTTGTTTGATATTTCATTGTTTAGTGCATAATGACATTCACACAGTGTTTGCAAGAGAGAGAGGGAGAGGAAAAATCTAACAATAAAGATAACAGTTTTTTCTGTAACATATGTCTCATCCAACAACAATAATGCATGAGGTGGGAAAATGGCATGTTAGGGGTCAATGCGGACACGCTGGCTGGATGCTAGTTTACAAATATGCAGCAATGAGCCAAAAGACTGCAAGGGAAGGATAGATTAAACAGCTGGGTTAAGAGACCATTTGCCATATTAGTTCCACATATGCAGTTTAATAGAAAAGTAATGTACACTGGGAAAAAATCGATGATTTAGGATTTGTTTTGAAATCGCTATTTCATGAAATACAACAAAGAAACAGCAAGTAATATTGAATTGTATTTGAAATTTAGAGCGTTTTCTTTTAAAATGTAACTTTTTATATGTAGTTCAGTAATGATTACCGTGCATTTTGACTACAAAATGAGGTCTTGTTTGATAATTTACTTGGCAACTCGCAAGCTACCTTGACCTAATTTTGGCATGCAGTGTTGCGAAAGCCCTAGGACTTATAAAAGCACATGGAAAAACAATTACACACAGTTCTAAACTCAATCATCACACTGTGATGTTTACCTGTGTGCTGCTAGCTTTTATACAATATATATGCACACACACACACACACACGTGGACATAGAATAGATTGGATGTGGGTCACAGTTTCCAGCTATTTCGTTTCAGTCTAAACTTTAACGCTACTTGGCAACTTTTCCCCAGTGTTATGTTCATGTTCGACGAATGTGTTTTAAGTATAAAAAACACAGCTGTGTTTCCTAATACATGTAAATCATTCCTCACGGCTCGCCTGTCAGTTCAGCTGTGAATGTGATGTTATTGTTGGACAGATTCATACTGTTATACAGTGACATGTCAACTCATTTCCCCTTTACTCCACTGCCCTGGATACTGCAAATCAAATGAGTTTTCATTTCATTCATTTTGTAAAATTATTTTTCAGAAAGAACATTTTCCTGAACATGACTATATTGATTATGTTATTGTCTGTTGGTGCAAAGAACATTTATAATGCAATATTCATGTAGTGTTCAGTCATTATCAGCAACCAGTGGCTGAGCCCTGATGACAGAACATGCCAGCAAAGCGAATAGCTGTAGTCCAAATGTCTGAGAATGCTAGTGGAAGATTTCTATTTTGCATTTGTACAATTTAATACAACACTTTAAAATAAAATAAAATAAAATAAAATAAAATAAAATAAAATAAAATAAAATTAATAAAATTTAAATTATATTATTGTTATATAAATTAATCATTCTAAATTAGTCAGCATAATAATTTGTAATTATTATAATAATTAATGTCAGGATTTCTTAGTATTTGGTGCTTTCAATTTCATATCACTCATACATACATATACATGCGTGTGTGTGTGTAAAAATGTTCTCTAGAATGATTAAAACATGTGCATCTTGTGCTTCAATGGGAATCAAGCTCATAATTGCTTATAATTCATTTAACATTGTAGCTTTTGTTATTGTACAAAATACTAAATCTTTATTGCCAATAAATAATAAAAACTCCCCATTTGAACCCAACTGTACTATTGAAGCAAAAAAGCAAAGACAAAAACAGTCAAATCCGACGTTTGCAATAGCCAAGTCAAGTCACCTTTATTTAGCGCTTTATACAGTACAGATTGTTACAATGCAGCTTTTTACAGTGATAATCAAGAAAATAATGATTTAGTGATGCAAACAGAATTCAATTTTGCTGCAAAGCAGCTCTAAAAAAAGAAGACAATTGTAAATAGTCATTATAAAGCAAATTCAGTTCACTGTTAATTCAGTGCCGTTTAAGTCAATCAATAATTAAATGAGTTTAATTCATTTATAAAGCAGCTTTGGAGAAAACAATAATGTCATCGTCCAGCTCACTTCACTTCTCAACCAATAATGTCAGTGCATTTAAGTCATTAATATTGCCAAATAGTAAGCGTCCCTAAGTGGCAAGGAACCCAAAATCCATCTGTGACAAAAATGGAGAGAAAAAAAAAGAAAACCTTGGGAGAAACCAAGCTCAGTCGTTCTCCTCTGGCCAGAGTTCTCCTCTGGCCGACAGTTGTCAGATTCATGCATTTTAAATGCTACAGCAGATATAAACATAACTGGTCATAATCAGTCAGTGTAACAGTCTATTAAGAATCTTCAGCTGACTAGAAGAGATGCAATGGAATTCATTTAGCATATAAAACAGAAGCCTTCCAGCTATCATGGGACAATGCCCACCATTAAGTTCTGGTTGTGTTTAACATGGGTTTGTTTATCAACACAAATCAATCAGCAATCACTTGGATGTGAGTTATGGGAAAGTCAGTGCTTGGTTGCTCTACTTATGGGCCATTTCTGTGGCTCCACTTTATAGCTGTGGGCTTGATGGTTTGGCTCCTGTGCTCAGGAGGGTCTGTGAAGGCCATTTACCATTCTCCTCCATTCATTCAGCTCAAGCGCTTTTACAGACACAGTGGTGGGAATAAAGAAACATGTGTTATAAAACTAATAATGTCACTCAACTCTAATGACCAGGAAGGCCTGTTGTTGTTTCTGGAATAGTTCTGGAGCTTCTGCTTCTACTTGGTCAATCACATTCAGTGATCAAACTATTTGAACATTGTCCTAAATTTGCAACATACCGTTCTCTGTGAACTTGTCATATATCATCAAGGTAGAATAACTAATTAACAACATTTTGGAGAAATCAGTAGTCAGCTTTGTTTAATGAAGAAATTAAGTCCCCAGATAAAGCAAGAATGAAATGAAATCAGTGCCCAAAAGAACTGACATGAGACACAAAAAGCTGGAAGAGAAGTTTAATCAGAAGTAGAAATGTTACACTATAGCTAAATATATTAGCTAATGAGTCCACAAATAAAGTACTGTAACTTGGATTGCAGTTTAAACATGATAATATAAATGATCATTGTAGTAATTCTGTTTATGGTTTATGACATTTTCTATGACACAGCGGTTTATATATACTGTATTTATATATAACCCACGTATTACATGGCCGCCAAATTAATGAATAAATTCCTTGAAGTTTAAATTACTTGCTAATAAAGTATTTTTCAGCAGTAACACTTCATTACTTAAAGCAACTGAATGTTAGTTTTTACCTTAAGAGTTCTGATGCAAAAGCCTCTAAATGCCGTCTGAAATTTTAATCTAAAATGAGTATTTTTATCAGGCTCCTATGTTAGGTTCAGTAATTTTACTCTAATGGCAATGTATAGGTCCTTATCTATGCAATTAAAGGGAAATAACTACTGTAAAAAATGACCGTGAATTTAACGGTAAAAGACTGTAAAAATGCTACAGTAAAAACCTGTTAAATGGTTAACGGTAAATTCCCCTACTATATACGGTGAAAAACTGTATTGGACATTACATGTATTGGACATAAATTTTACGGTAGTATACCGTTTTTGGAAGTGAAAAATACCGTATAATTTACAGGGAATAACCGTAAATTGATATTCCCAGAATTCCCTGCGTTTAATTTCAAATTTGATGTTTTTTTGTTGAAATAATTATGTTTCTTCTTAGTTTATTATATCAGTTTTGTATATTAGGGTTGTGTGGTACACCTAATGTTGTTAAATGAATGTTTATTGCATTATTTCAGTTTCATGTGTGTTACCATGATGGTGTTTAGTGTTTGTGTGAATGACACTGTGCACCTTCTATATATGTTATTATTTAAAAGCTGCTTGTGATGGGCTTTGGTTCATCATGTGACTTTCTCATCACCACCTGCATTTGGTGGTTATCAGTGTATTACAAAGGTACAAAACGGATTTCAGTACTTCAAAAAGTTGGTATATTAACATTATATCAGTTAATGCAATTATGGTATTTAACTGTAAATTTAAGTTAAAACCGTAAAACCTAAAACGTTGCTACCATATTTTTTACGGTAAAATTCCGGCAACCACAGCTGCCGGTTTTTTACCGTAAATTTTACGGATTTTTTTATATATAGGAGCCTGATAAAAATGCTCATTTTAGAAGAAATTTTCAGCCAGCACTTAGATGCTTTTGCATCTGAACTCTTCAAATATCAGTTTAAAATCATTCTGATGATACGCTGATGTCTAATAAGGCGTCTGGCTTCTGTTTCTTTCCCACGCTACCGCCAAACGTCTGTTCTGGAAGTATGTAAATTTGGTGAGCGGGAACTAAATTCTGCGAAAAGGCCGGATTGCTTTACGGCAGCAAATGCACATGTACATCCATCATATGCTGTAATTACGACAGCGATATATTTACGACCGTGAAATCAACTCACCTAACTGTAGGGGGCTCTAAAGTCGCAAGGTATTACATTTGCAAATGAGCAAACAAATAGTGACAAAATCATGTGAAATAGATATATATAGAGAGAGAGATATAAAGT